GCATTTGTGACTGATAGTGCTGGAAATGACGTCAGTTGAAGTTTTTCGAAAACTCAATAGTTTTCTGTGAGGGTAGGTTCAAATTGTATAGTTTCAGTAACGTTTAAAGGCCATTTTCTTAAAAACTTGAATGTTAAGGTTTCCAATTTTTTCAAAGGAAATTGCCGTTTAAGACGAGGTTTTACTTTACTTTAATATTGTTATAATAATATTTCCGTTCTACTAGGAAGCCGAAAAATTATAATAATTTTTATTTTTAAATTTACTTTGGGCGGCGAGAGATGACAGCTCACAAGAGTATGTGGCAAGTCCGGATAGCTAGCTGAGACCAATAGAAATAAATTAAATGGGAAAGTCTGTGTCATTCTCCAGCACCACTAGTTACATATGTAGAGAAAATTTAAAGAAAACAAATGGAGCGGGTTTTAAGAAAAAAGTTGTAAATTTCAATCGCAAAATTTGCAAAAATTACAAGTTTTTCAAAATCTTTTACATGACCTTTCTTGATGAGCTAATTTTTTACATCAGAATGTCTGAGGGAAAATACCTAACTTCAATTTTGTAGTTTTAAAATGTTTCTTTTTAATTTTCAAAAAACCGAGCAATGCCCGAAAATATGACTACCATAATTTTTATCGTCTCTTATTATATAAGTGAAGAAAATTTAAAGGACAAATTTTGAGCGTTTTTCGAAGAAATTGTGTAGTAAATTTCTATCGCAAAATACGCAAAACCAGTTTTTTTCCAAAAATTGTACATGATCTTTTTAAAGAGCTAATTATGTATAACAGACTTTATCTAACACAAAAATCTGTATCTCCAATTTTGAAGTTTTAATTTTTTCCAATTTTTGAAAAATGGGGTCAACGAAAATGAGACCTGCACAATTCTGTTGAACGTCGTTTTCACTATTAAACAACAAAATTTAATGAACAAATTTGGAGCCTTTTTTTTTTTGCAAATGTCCCAGGTGCTTGATATAAAGTACTCCCCAAAATTAAAATATCGGTTTCAAATTCCAAGGGCCGCGACATCAGCTAGAACGATTGAGGGATACCAATTTTGGAGAGAATCGGCTGAATGATTTATGCGCTAGCGTAATGGACAGACAGAAGTTTTGCCATCAATCGATTTTTACTTTCCTGTATACATACGTATATACGGTGTAATATACCCGACCGATAAAATGAGCGATAGCGTTGGCTGGACCTCCCTATGAATACATTTTGGTTCGTCTAATATCAATAATATCAACAAAAATTTTAGTTCATTCAATGTGAGATGAGACAAATTACGCGACAAAATTAGTATTTACTATTTTAGAATTTTTGGATGTAAAAGTTAGTTCGAAAATTTATTTCGTTAACCTGTTTGTGTGAGTGGGCAAACGAAAATTCTTGGTGGGCATGCCTGGGCAAACGAGTGGCTAACCATATACTAAGTTTCGTAAAAATATCTGAATATTTTGACCAGTATGGAGGTGTTTTGAAATTTTATTGCATATACCTTTTTTGTGGGTGGGTAAACGAAACTTTTTGATGAGCAAACGATCGAACAATGTACGAAGTTTGGTTAAAATTCCAGTTTTTATTTTCGTCGAACGTGGAATAGAAAATTGTTTTCGCGTCTAACATTTTTCTGGGGAACGTCAAACGAAATTTTTTGATGGGCAAACCTGAGCAAACGACGTACTTAGTTTCGTCAGAAATATCTGAATTTTGTTGGTCAGCATGATGTCCTGAAAATTTGTTTTGTGTCAACTTTATTGGTTGCGTGGGCAAACAAAAATTATTGGTAGGCAAATGATTGGCAAACGTTATACAAAGCCCCATGAAAATACGCATTTGTTTCCGGCCAACTTGGACTGTCTCTAAATTTCTTTTGCGTCTGACTTTTTTTTGCGTGTGTGGGCAAATGAAAATTTTTGGTGGGCAAGCGATGTACTGAGTTTGGTTGAAATCCCAGATTTCTTCCGACCAGCATATATTTGTTTGATTAATAAAAAAATGAAATGCCGATGCAGAGACTTCGCTTCAACAAAACTATTTAGACAGCCGTTGGGGCAACGTGGTAACGGATCTTTGATCTCCGAAAAGATCGTGGAAAACTTCAACCTTTTCTACACATTCAGGGTCGCCTGTCAGTCGATGAATCAGATTCGTAGGAATCTTAACATTTAAGCGAAATGAGTCGCAGAGGAAAGAACACCTCTTTTGAGCTGCACCAGCTTGTTATTTAACATAAAGCAAAGGGTGAATCATGCCGAAAAAATTGCAAAATGCGATTAATGAGGAAAGAACAATGAGTGACCTAATCTCGCGATACATCAAGAGAGAAGATTGAACTGCAACCCTGGGGAGGACGCCCAAACAACTTTTTTGGTCGAGAAGAGAACCTCATAGAGAGAATAATAATGAAGGATTGTGATTGTAGCTTTCTGCGGCCGGAGTCTTTGGATATTTGGCTGTTCGGGTTGAGCCGCGTCTCAGTCGATTGAGCTGACGTTGCGGCCATTGTGTTGTGGTCTTCTTCAGACAGTGTGACCATCCAGCAGTATAGCTCTGAAGAAGGCCAGAACACGATGGCCGAAACGTCAAATACCCAATTCATTCCAAACAAGAATTAACACAAATAATACATGAATAGAGAAAAATTTCTCCTTATTACATCCCACAACTTGGTACAAAGTATACCAAATGTACTGAAGGCAGTGCTGTAACGAAGGGGAATGTCTACAAGATATTGAACTCTCTTACTGCGTTCATTTTTTACGTGTTTTTGTTTCTACATTATTTACTGTGCATATTGTTTTCATTTCCATTAAAGTGTCCGAATAGTTTTGTGATTTAACTTTTCAGCATAAAATATTTAAATTTAAAAATATCAGTTGCTTATCGTGATTTTAAAGAAACTTTTGTAAGTACATTATAACTGTGTATGAGAGTAACCATGTAATAAACTTTATTACATTTATTTTCTTCTCTTAATATTCCTAATCCATGATTATTCTTCTAAATTTCCAGTACCCAAATAGTTTTGTGTCACTGTATTACTAGAAAGGCTGCTATTCTCATCCATGTTGTCTGCATTCATCCATACTTTTATTGTATGCCTTGATTTCTTGGTTGAGTCACAGTGATAATTCTTTCTTCAGACTGACAGTCTTTTTATCTGGCTTTATTACCATTATACTTTACCTCTTATTAGCTTCTCTAACTACTACTACAACTAGAAGCTTCTCTAACAACGTTGTTGAACCACTTGCATATAAAGATGTCGTAATTATTTTCTGTAATGCTTTCAATGGTTCCCCAAGGTTTCTTTTCATTTCTTTATAACAAATTAGAGGAAAATTTTGTGTTATTCTGTACAGGCGAATCATAGTACCTATTCCACTATAAATCTTTTCTCCTAGATTCCTCAGCAGGTTGAAACTGGTAAACAAATTGTCTGCGGTGATATGATATGGGTAATCCACCTTTTCATTAGGCAAATAGCCTAAGAATGACATAAGCGGAGCAGTTGACTCCAAATATTTCATCATATATTTTACTTCTACCTTTTTTGATTTTCCTCCTGATAAACTTCAAAATAGCGTTCGCTTCATCTGCAGTGTTTTTGTCATGCATTCCGTCAGCTTCAGGAGGAGCAATGAAGATGTCTAGTTCTCCCAAATCATTGTCTTTCTCACCCTTAAATCCTTCCATCCAATATGCTGTAACAAATTTTGTAAAAGATCTTTGACAATAAGACCGTCTTTAAAATGTACATCACCCCTACAAATTATAAAAGAACTTTTAAATTCACAAATATTTTGTTTGATATGTAAAAACAAGACACACAACATTGCTAGATTAAAATTTTTATTTGTTAGACAACTATGAAAAAGTAGTGCAAAAGACTAGCGTAACATTTATGTCCCATACCTAAACACAGGTCTTAAAATTAGAGAAAAAAATATTTTTTTCAATAACTTTCATTGTACATTGTAAATTAACTAGTATTTTTAATCAATAATACAGAAAATCAGCATAAGAAAATATTTGAACTTAGAATTCTACTTACCATATTTTAGGGTGCAATGCACAGTGCAGTCAATTTTGAAAAGAGGCCAGACAAAACTCACAATTCAAGCAGATGAAATGACTGTCGGAAACTAACTGAGACCAGACACAACTTTGAGACAGTCAAACAATACCTGTATGAGGAGTTGGGGTTAACAATTTAGGACATGTTTGCTGTAACATTTTCGTTATGCTCATCCCTGGAGGATTAAAAACTTATTTACAAAGTATTTTGGCGAGGTATTTAAGTACTAAATTTAAAGTATTTTGCCCAACTCTGATTATATTGGGAATCGTTTCACATATCTGGAATCATGAAGTTTTCATAAACTAAACTAAAATACACCATACACTTAAAATGTACAACACACATTGCTGTATTGATCATCAATATATTTATTTTTCTACTTATTACTATTATATGGACAAGTAAGTCCATTATTTACAAAAAAAATACAATAAAAAATTTGCATGTAGCAACATAATTATAAAAATAGAAAAATTTATAGAGAAAAATATTCAATTATAACATATGAAAATATATGTGTCTTTGAAGATTTCCACCTACACTCATAAAAAACAAACAAAAAAAAGTTCGTGCTTGTGCACACATAAAAAAGAAAGTTTACCAGTTTCTGAAACTTCTACTTTCATAGATTGAAATTGCAAAATCAAGGAAATACCATTGTCTCCAATACGATGTTGCCAAGGACGCCAACTAACATTTAACTCTTATGATATCCAATATCATATTTTATTTCCTCCATACAATTTGCATTTTCTTAAGGACTGAAGAAAGTAGAAAAATGACTTGAGAAATACCATAAACTCATTGATTACTTGAAGTTCAAATTCAAAATACAATAAGTGAAATTTCATGATTTGTCAGCTTACGAAAGGAATTTTTTTGGTTACAAAATAAAATTGCACCCTGTTGTAAAAGAAACAGAAAGATTTTTATTATGTAATTTGGAAACTTATTACATATTTTTATTTGGATTCCAAAATGTTGGTGACTGTTCTAATACATGGTTGGGGGTGTACTATATTGCAACCCCTTATAAATATTATCCAAACTGCAAATACAGACATGTCATCCATGTATATTAGAGTTCACCCACACTTGGTTACCAGAAATACATTGAGAGATGATTGCAAACAAAAATTAGTAGATGACTAGTTTGAGATGTGCTCATTGAAGTTTGTTGATTTTTAATTAAGATATGTAATAAATGACATTTAATATAGGAAGTTAGACATGTAAAATTAAAATAAAGATCTTAGATAGGTGAGTGTAAATAAATATGTCAATGAAAATCTCTCATTCTTCTATCTAAGCCTAATATTCACACTTTGGACTTCACACTGGTAGCACCATAAACAAAACATTTTTATATTAACTACAATGTTTTCATTAATTATCTACTGGTTCTTGGTTCCAATCAGATAAGTTTAATTTGATACACTCAGAAAAACTATCACAAGGCTTAAATGTTTTATAAATCTCAACTTTAACTTAGAATGGTGCTTATTTGTACATTATATTATCATAACAAATATTTCAAAACTATTCAAGCCTTATAATATAATCCTTTTTCTATCACTACATCAATACTACACTTGGTATATAAAACTCTGTAAAACTGTAGCACTCTAAGGGGAGCTAATCTGGAACAAATTACTATTTTAAAATTTTGTGATGTTTTGCTATCAACTAAAAAATGAATACCTAAAAATTCAAATACTACCTGTGAATAGTGATGGCAAATTTTAGCAAAACATCAATGTTTAAAATATCAATATTTTAAATATGATGAAACATTTCAAAGTAAAATGTACTGGTTCTAATGTGATGCAAATTCTCCAATATTAGTTTAAAGGATATTCTGCCATAAATTGACTATCATCGTAATTTTATTATCAATGTTCTATGTAGCAAGGTTCAAAATGCAGTTTCATGATGTTATCACTTACAAAAGAATCAAAAAAGGTAGCACTGGAGAAAGGTTGTGAATAGCAAAAGTTACATGCTTCCTGGGGATTGTCAACAGTGACATTTTCTAATGGCTGTTGATTGCAAGCAATTCACAAATAAAATAAATTTGGGAAATTTTATTTATATCATGAGTATTTTGTTTTGAAAATATCTATGTTTTTTGACAAATATATTGATCTGAAGAAAACATTGAAAGCAAAACATAAATGCTTTTTTGCCATCCCTTCCTGTGAAACCCTATTTATTGTTCAAACCAAACGAGAGCTTTCTACAGAAGACAGCTGTTGAGCTTAGCAAAAGGTGAACTGGAGGTTGTCATGCCAACCACTCAGCAACTACTTGCCTAAAAGAACAGAAAAGGAATTATTTTAATTATCTATGAATGAATTACAGTACAGTTTCTTGTAGTGTTTGTTTATAACAATTACTTACTTTCTATTAGGCCCACTATATGGTGGTGGGTTAGGGCGACAATATACAGTATTGCAATCAGATGCTCCCCTGAAAATAATAGTAACGATTCTTTACAAATCTTTCAAATTTGCAAATTTTTCAAGAAACAAATCATGTCAATAATCATTATCTTTAATCAGATATGAATGTTTTCCAGGAAAATAATTCTATTAAGTCTATTCCAAACATGCTAAAGTTAAAAATATAGGAAAATTAGTTAAAATTACTGAACATCACCTCATGCAGAACAAACCAGAAAATTATACTAACAAAAGTATGTAAATGAGATTAGTTTTACCTGGTTGCATTGGAACGAGGTAAGGAACTGTTAGGACTTGCAGTTCGAGATCGAGAAAGTGTTGTGGAGCATATTTCAGATGGTGTGTTGGAAACCTCTCTTTGACTTGACAAAGATCGCAATGTGTGAGTTGCACGCTGTACAGCTGCGTACTGCACCATCTGTACAGCTGGAGTTTCCTTATTGCGTTTGCTTCTGGATTTACAAAATATTGTGGCAATAAGCAGAAAATATTGACTTTATGAAAAGGGAGGGGGAGAAATTATCATTTAAAAGTGAGAATTAATATCATTAATGTGACAGGTAGTTTGTTTCCAAACTATGTGAATACTGCAGAATTTATTTAATATTCAAAGACAATTTATAATGAAAATTAAAAACCTATTTTAATGAGTTTTTTATGTAACTTATTCTGAAATAATGTTTTACAGATTAAATGAAATGTTTGAACAGATTAAATGACATTTGCACAATTTCACTAGTTGCTAAACAGTATTGTGAATGCATTATGGTTTCACCCTTCTGAACAAATTCTGAAAAATTATCAATGTAAATTTGTTGATTAGCAATTAATCATTTTCTATTCTCTTTATTATTTTCTTTACATTTTGGTTAAACTTTTCTATATATGTACCAAATAATAAAGCATGAGGGCAAGTGAAACAAAATGTTACATGTCAACATGAGTGGACGTCAATCATAACACAAATTCACACAGTAATGAACAAAATTTATTAACTAAGTTAAAATTTGTTAATTGGTTTTTCCATTTATTAGTGGGCACAAAAACAAGAAATAAATGCATTAGAAGGTTTTGTAAACACCCACTAGTTCGGCACTGCTAACCAATAAAACTTACTTTACCTCATCTCTTCAAAGATATCAAATACTGATTCAAAATATTCACTTGATGCCTCATCCCTGCAAAGACTTGCATTAACAACAATGACAAGCTCTTTTTACCAATAAACCTATGAAATCTGTGTGGTTGTAGAAACTAGTAATATGAAATCCAAAATATTCTCATCATAAAAAACGCATGAGAACATTACAGGAGAGTAACATTTTGGTATTCTTCAGGGTACTTACATGCCTTCATGATGAAAACATAGGATGAGAGAAAGTAAAACAACAAGCAAGATCATCACCAACATTGGAACTAAAATGGTGAATGCAAATTCATGGACATAACTACGCTGAGGAATTTGTGATTTGGCAGGTCTAGACCACCTATCATTCTGACCAAGGCCAAGTGTCAAATGACTTTCCATTAAATCAGACTCTCCATGTGAGGAATGCTGCTGAGACAAAGATTGATCAGTTTCCTATAAATTAAAATAAAAAAGTTGCACAAAGGTTAGTATTCACAAATCTTTTCACTTTATTTACTAATATTGTAATACTGGCAATATGTTATTACCTTGACTGTCATAAGTCTAAAAGCACACCAATCAAGGGCAAAACCTTCTTCACGAAATAAACGATCAACAGTTGTTCTTTTAAAATCTCGAGGGCAAGAAATTAACTTCCACAAAGGTTTTACCTCTTCTTGCAATTCTATCAATGCTGATGAAAATTCAAACTGGCTACCCACTCGCAATACAACTCTATTGGCAAATAGAATTTAAGTATGTCAGAAACAAAACTTGATGAAATGAAAATAAGATGAAAATGACATTTCAATAAATACTTTTTATATTTAACTGTCAGGAAATTTATCTTACATTATTATTTGGTCCAGGATTTATTACTCCTAGGCATTAATACAATTTTCCAATAGGATGTTTCATTAAAGAATAAGTGAAGTGCATTAAGGAGTAAATCGGGGTTACTACCACTTATACATGTGTTGTAGCAATGTAAGTAAACTCTGTATGTTCGCAGGCAATCTTAAATTATCTGCATGATAATAATAATAATGAATAAGATGTGATGAAAAAATATATAATTCTCTTTGAATAGTAAATAGTTGAGTGTGAATTATTTAGTGTGGAAGCTGGTAAAAGAAAACACAGATTTAGAGAAGTAAAATCAATCATATTGTAAATGTTAACAGAGCATTACTTCACAGTGCACTCAATGCTCCTTAAGGAACTAGGAGACATGTTGCATCCATATAGGCACAACAAATTCAAACAAACAAAACTATAAATATATTATTTTAAAATCATGAAAGGAATTATTATTTACGTTAATTCTGATGCCTTATTTGCCTTACTGTTTGAACGTTTTCAACATGGTAAATAAAAATAAAATTGCGAAGATGCAAATAATATGTAACAAAGATATGAGATCAATTTTAAATCAAGGGCATGGTAAAATGTCAGCATGTGCAGTCAAAATTAGGATATTTATTAGTTGAAAGGGAAGTAAAAAAATGTTTTAGCTTTTATTTATATATTAGAAAATAAATCATTGCCAGAATATTTGGATTGTTTCGTTAAAATATTGTGATATTCATTAGTTTTCAAGAAGACAGGCTAATCAATGCTGTTTAGAAAACCTACAAAGAAGCAATGTATAGAAATATTATGTAGTGGTCTGGAGCAAATGTCACACATTCAACAGGTGATAGTACAAGCTTGAACAAAATTAGAGACATTTTTACATTACTTCAGCACAAGTAAATTCAAGTAACATATCTGAAATCAAATTCAACTGCAGGATCAGTTATTTTTGCCTATAGATGAAGCTGAAAGTGGTATGCAATATTTAGATACAGAACAATATTTCAAGGCGACGGACAATTTGCAACGAATTTACACAGGAAATAAAGCGATCTGGATCTGTTGGAAAATTTAGGGAATGGTTAGATATAAGATTGGAAAGTAATGAGTATGAAAGCATAAGAAATCTTATGTATAAATTGTAAATTATTATACTAAAAAATTAATATATTGAATTGTTGGGTTGGTAAATCATATTATGTGGTTATACAATTAAGGTACCAAATTGATTTTATTACAATTTTAGTCAGTTTATTTATATAACCTCAACTTCACTGAAATGTAATTTGGGGATATGCCAACTGATAATTTGACAGTAAGAAAAATAAATGAACTAATGTTTTAATACACTTGACTCAACCAATTTATGATCTGAAATGGAACATTCTATGGAAACTTTATCAATGCATAAGTGTCAATAATAAAACATACATCATACTTAAAATAATCGACATTCCAATAATACATACCCTTCTCCTTCATTAGGTTTTAGAGGTAGGCGAGCTCCTAATTGAACAGCTGATGCAAGAAATGTCACATACAGATCGCTTTTACTCTCTGGCCAGAGTTTGAGCTTGAATACATCCAGTAAGCGTCTCTGACGATTTTCATCAATCATATCCTCCACGTTTAAATTGTCAATTTTTAATTGAGCTTCATACTTAGCTACTTCTGAAGAAAAATGTAGCATAACAAGGATGGACACTCCGAAAACTTAAGGTTACAGGAAAAATCTGACAAATAGTACCTGATTTTCGATGAACATTAACAGGGAGAACTTTGCGACGTGTTTCATATGTTCTTCGATTCAGCCCAACTATTTCAAGCTGAAAATATTCTAATAAGTCACTTTTAAATCAATACATTTGATTTAAATAATTAAAAATTGCAATAGCTTACTTCCAAATTATGTTGATTGATTGGGGGTACACCATACAAATATCCAGTATGGTGAACTTTACTGTAGACATAATGTATCCATTGAGGAAGATCAGGAGCATTTAAAAGTGATGGATGATATGAAAACTCATCTACAGCACCTATCAGAGTAAATGTGAATGTTTAATTTGTTAATATGTGAGTACACTTGCATAATTCTGAATTTTATAATCACCTTTCAAAGTCCAATTGAAGTGTTGAGGATGAATAGGTATCACAAATAGTTCTGTCATATTAGCATTCTTAGCATTTACCCCAAACACAGACAGAAGGATTAAGATATAAAACATTTTAGTTAGGATAAAATTACACTTATTTATAATATGATTAATTATATAAAACAATATAACCTTCCCTTTTTTAAATTAGGGTTTTCCTTAATTTACAATATGAGTAATGTATTTTAAAGCCATTCCTATAAATATTGTTATTCAGTTACAGATTTATTTCATTTTCAATCTTTTTCAATGTCAATGTTCTAGTCAAACATTCCTCAACCCTCTGACACCCAAAAGCATCCCTGCAGCACCCTTTACAGCGTTTACCACTCCCCGCCACTTTCAATTCTCCATTTGACTTGCACTACTTGAGTGCTTGAGTGTCTCTGGTAGCGCGTCACTCAACCCAATCAACCTAACCAACCCTCTGAACTTTTCGCAGCAAGCGCAATTTCTCATACATTTTGAGCTCGATCTAATCAATACCACCCTACCACTTTCCAAGGTGTACCAACGTTACCACAATGAAAATCTCGGTTTGTAATTCACCCCTTCCTACCAGTCCTTAGTTCTGAAGAACAGTGTCAGATTCAGATCAGACTTCAGTTTGGTTCTTTAGTTGCTAGCTCTTGGAGAGAGATTTCGAAGTTTGGCACTAGTTTACCTGAATTTCTACTACGGAGTGAAGTGCGTAACAGAAATGTTGGAACTTCATATCGGGAACAATCTTGCATAATTGGTTATTTTGGTAGTTTGGATGTGAACATTGATGTGCAGGGGTTGTCAGATCCGCGGGGTTCTCCAAGTATACCTTGAGTTCCTTCGGTTTAGGCGTGGTTTAATGTGATAGTGTGGAGTTGGCTCCGTGTTTATTATAATTGTGAGAATCGTGTTGGATATAGAATGTGGTCTAAATTTAACAGTTTTTCGGTTGAAGACGTATGATGACAATCAACTACGGAGAGTCACTGCATCCAGTTGTGCGTTTTACGTTTCGATACAATAAAATGTTTATCAACAAATAGAGAAGGCAAGTCGAAATGGCGGGGAAAACTACACCTGTGTTATTAGTGACGGCTAATGTTGGATCAATTTTCGAAGATGTAAGTTAATGTTTAAATATTCTTTACGTTTGAATTTGTATTCGACATGTACAGATGCCTAGACATGCCATTAAAAATGACAATCTGATAAAAATGACATTTTAAATTAATTGCATGAGTAGGTTAAATTCCACTAGTATCTTCATGTTACTGTGAATATATGTATTTCGTGACAATTGTTATTTTGAAAAATTGATATTGTTTATTGACAACCTCTGTCATGTTTTGCGAGGCTATAAAGAATTGTCTACTTTCAAAATATTCAGTTATTATCGTATTATCTGTTTATATTTACAGCCATCCCATATGCTGAAGATATGGACTGAAGAATTCTTATCGGTATGATAATTTTTTAAGTACATTATATTTCAGTTTTACTAGTTTCCTATTTCTTATTGACTGTTTCCTGATTCTAGACCGTGGCTCGATTGGACCCAAAATTCATTGCTTTGCACTGCCAAGAAGTCGGCGGTAAAAATTATGAACGAAGCATGAAACATGTAGAAGATTTTGTCAGGTGGGTTAACTAGTCGACCTCTTTGGATTTTATAGTAAATTTGTCTTTGTCGGTAGGTGAAAACTATAAATAAGAATGTTGACATTTCTGATAGTCTCCTTGCTTCTGTTTTTTTATTATTAAAATATGTTATAAGAATGTTTGAATTGGCTTGTGACAAATGTTCTGCAAATACAACTTAGATTTGTTCTTTACCTTTAGTAGAATTGTTTCCAAATGTGAACAATTATTGCACAGATTAGTTCTACAGGTAATGGAAAATTGTGTGTTATATTTTATTGTTATGGACTTTATTTGTAATTGCGTAGCCTTTTCTTCAGTAATGGATATTTTTAAATGACTTCTATTAAAAAAAAATACTTTTTTACATATATTACTTCTGTGCCCTTTAATGTCTAATTTGTTGCCACAATGCAATTTGAAATAATACATAAAATTGTTAATAAAAAAGGAGAACAGACATTAACTGTATCAAATTTTAATAATATGTACTGTGTACCTATATAAATCTAGTGTTCCCACTCTTTTTTCTATTCCTATTAATATTTTTCTGCATCTTATTATGCAAATTTTTGTGCAGATTCAAGGGGTGATAAATTGGTTTCAGAGAGTTTGCTATGATCATGTTAATATGTGCAATCTTTCATCATTCTAGCTCTAAATACTGCACACAATTAAAATTTATCTTGTTCTGTGGTTATCTTTTTTTTTTACCATAATTTTAGTATTTAGTAACAGAATTTTAAAACAGTTCATTAGCTTGAGTTTCACTTTAATCTTAGTGAGAAAATAATTTCCAGTCTGATATTTATTATATTTCAAGTAATTCAACCAATGAATTACTGTGGTTTTCAAAGAATCGAAGTTTTTGATTTTGTCAATTCACTACTAATGGCATACGATAATGTTATATTAAGATGTTAACAGATTGGTCGATTATTCAGTATTGTATTGAGATGCAAATACATTTCATTTATGGGGGATGGGCAATGTATTTATTTAAATTATCCCTCATTAAAGGGAAAATTAGTTAAATCTACTGTCAGGAGAAATACCTTTTACTATAGATATGTTATTTTTGGAAATTTGAAAATTGTGCACAATTTAAAGATTTTGAGAAAAATGTGTTGTTTTTTGTGTGACTATGTAGCTGTAATTTTAAATTAGTTTGGTGTTGTATTAAAATATTTCAATTAGAGTCGTTTGTTCCTCTGCCTCATAGATTCTGAGTGCTTTTTTTCTTTTTTCTGTTGATATGCGTTCACAATGATGGACACTTAGTACTTTTCTTTCTTCATGCTTTTAGGAGTAAATTTATTTGTTGTAATTATTGAAGTCATTGGCAGTCACAGAGATATTTTATTTCTGAGAACCAGTGTTCCTTCTTTTAATATATGTTTACACCTTATATGAAATGTGTTTTAGCTTGCTTTGCTTTTTTGTGAAGATTGTTAATGTAAATCTAGGCATAGTTTTTTAAGGTTTTGCGGTTTTCTTGCTTCAGCTCTCTATCAGTTACATCCTTAATGACTATTTTTTCACCTTACTAAATGTATTTGCATGGGTATTTGCTTGGAGGAGAAAATAATTATTCACATGCAATTTAATTTAAATTGCACTCTTAATATTGTAAAATAAAAGGATATGTGATACCTACAGGTTCGTGAGAAACATTGTTACATGTTTCATGTATGTTTTTGCTTCAAAGTTCTGTTTTCTTGTCTGCGAAAGTAATGTAATTATATTGGTCTCCTTTGCTAAATTTAAAGATGTGTTTGTATGGTTTCTTTCAGAAGGTGCTTTTGTAATAAGATTAGTTTTCGTTGATCTCTTGTAACATTATTATCAATTATTTTTTCATCTGACTAAAAAGTATTTGCATGTATATTTGCTTCTTACCTTTATCAAGTTGGAGAAAATAGTTATTCACTTGTAATTTAATATAAATTGTTCTCTTAATATTGTCGATCGTTTTGTAAAATAAAAGGATATGGGATGCCTACATGTATGTAAGAAACATTGGGAAGTGTTGCATAAGTATTTTTTCTTCAAAATTCTGGTTTCTTGTCTGCAAAGTTAACGTGATTATATTGGTCTCCTTTAATAAATTAAAAGAGGTGTTTATATGGTTTCTTTCAGAAGGTGCTTTTGTAACAAGATTATTTTTCTTTGATCTCTTGTAACTCTATTTGTGCTGTCTATTGAATTATTCTTTTAGATCTTGCAGGGTTTCAGTGATTTAAATATCAAGCTTCACCAAAAAATATTTGTTTAAATCAAAAATATAATTTATTGTAAATTTTTAAAGAATGATAAAACTTTGAAGGCCAAATAAAACTAAAATATATCCAGAAAACTAAAAAGAAAATATTAAAAAGAAGGCAAGGAATAATGAAGAAGTGTATATTTAAATTATCAAAGTTTGTGCCAGCCAAAGTGCGTGTTGACATTAACTCTGCAAAAGAGAATGGTGGTGTACCTTCACATCGTTTTTGAATGATGAAAAAGATGCTCTAATTTGTGATTTCTATAAACTTGATAATTATAATACTCAAAATGCATATTTATTTGTACTAATTAAATCATTTTCTTGCAAGAGAGGGTATATAAAGGAACCAGAACCAATGTTGATGAAACAAAACCATTGTTGTAAACCCCAAAAAGTTTAACGAAATTTTTTTTCTTTCTTTCTTTCATTATTTGCAGAAAGTTGCATTGATATGTACAAAAAAGTATTCCTAGAAGATTTTACCGATCCGTGGTTTCGGAGTTATTTTATGAAAGTTCTAGTAAAACCCGAAATTAAAATCAGATTTAAATTTAAAAAATCTGATCTCTGTTGCTAACGTGATGCACATCTTTGATAAATTATTGATGAAAGAGGACACAAGTTTTAATTATTTGAATGTATAATTTACAAAAAAATTAAGTATTTGTAATCTTTATTTTCCTGTAATATAAATGGATATTTTATGCTTGTTTTCAGACTTTTTATGTCCAGCGAAGAACTCAGATTATTTGACAAAGTCAGAGTTTTTCTGGATGAAGACTATTCTTCAGCTGAGAACTTCACTGTAAGTTTTCGAACTCCTAGTTCTAAATGCAATTATACAATATGGTAACATTTGAAGGGGTGTGTTTTTATATATGTATAATGATAAGAACAATATTAATAACTGAACATAACCAGATAATGAAGCAGTCTATTAATCAAACTATTGGCAACTTCAATGTATGTTTTTTTTTTTTTTTTTTTCATTAATATTATTCTAAAGATTTAAAAGTAAATGATAAAAAAGAGAAATATTGAAATTGTAGGTAACTGAGATTATAAATAAATCTTTAAATTGAAGATTTGATTCAATGTAAAGATTAAACTTTTTTTTATGGTTAATAAAAATTTGAAGTGAATTAAATCACCACTCCCCATAAATATCTTTTAGCCAGAATATAAATCAATTTTAATTACTTCAAAGATCTTAAAAGAGGTGTGTGTGTGTGTGTGTGTTTTTCTCCCCAATTTGAACATGTTCTATTCGATGTGAAGATTAATGTTCTTCTGTAAATTATTGATTGGGCTCATTTTGTACTATTGTAATAAATGTACTGGTTGAATAATTATTTCTTCTTTTGCTAATAATACTGAAATGGAAAATTGTAAGTTTGAATAAATTGTTGCTTTGAAACTTTCCCTGTTTGCTGTATGTTTCTTTAAACTCTAATGTGCAAATTTTGTATTTCAGGCGCTTGGAAATTTTTACTTCATTCACGAATCTCTTTGTGATGTTTTAATATGGGATTTTGCTGGTAAGTTTGTTTTTTATTAAGGAACTTCACTGTAACCTACTACAGTTCTCAGCTTACTGTCTGTTATAGCAATGACGTTTGTGCCTGCAAAAGGCAAGGAAGTCCATTCTGGTAATATTGAAGCTGTTACCACTAAAGAAAAATCAAAATTTCCGCAAGACTTTTTTCCAGAAGTGAGTTTTTGAACTTTGCATTGCTGTTCTATACTATTCTATACTATGTTTACAATTTATTTTCTACGTTTTTCTTTCCAGTGTAAATGGTCACGCAAAGGATTTCTGAGAACAAGATGGAGTTTAAATGGCACCGTTTTTGATCTGATTAACATCCATTTGTTCCATGATGCATCCAATTTTATAGCAATGGAATCAGTAAGTTATAGAGTGATTTCTAAATTTTTTCTTAATTTAATTAATGAGTACTAAATCCTTCCTTCAAATTAGATAAAGTTAGAATGAGCACATAGTTGTTGAAATTAACTGGCATATGATGATTCTCAAATCTTTATTCAGCCATATGCTTTGTAAAAGCTATATAGCAGTATAGCGTGCATGCACCCTTCATTTACCGGGGCTCAGTAATCTCAATGCCAGGTGCACCACCGGAAAAAACTCGGAACAAAAGCCATTTATAGACATATGCTACGTTCTACCTGTCAAGAAAGGACTTATCTGGATCCTAGACTGGCTTCTTTTCCATTTTGAAATCTCTGAATTATTTTTCTAGTCTCTCTCACTGTAATATATTCCATATCAGCCGGTTCCTCGAGCTCTGTGTTGTACATGTTGCTAAATGCAAACCTATTTTCTTTCAAAAGTTCTTTGTATTATATTTTAAATTGATCTATACTTGTAGGTTGTACTGAATTTTGCTTTTTGTTTTGTCTGAGGATCTTTATTATTTTCCATGCGTTCTTTGATTTCGCATTGCCTATATTCTGTTCTTCATCATCACATATTCTTTCCCAAACTTAATTTTTGCTTCTCTGCTGATGAACTTCTCTACTGATTTGACTATACCGTTCTCTGTCTTCAATATCTTGAGTCCTTAACCATGGATTATAAGCAATATTCTTGTCACGCACTTTCCGTGCCTAAAAATTATTCCACCATGAGTCATGTATTCCTTTCCCACCAGTATGTTCTATTTCTCCGAGGCTCTCATAAGCCTAGAAAATTTGCGAGTCAAAATGGTTTGATTAACTCTGATGACTTAGTAAAGTCAGTATAAATTGGGTCTTCTTGGTAACCATCCTCAAATGCATCGGCGGTAAAGCTTCTAATAATCCGTGCTGACTTTCATTGAGCAAATTGTTGAAATTCAGCATGAAGTATTTGGTTTCCTGCTTTTCAAACAATTTTGGGAAAACCCTGAGGATAGAGATTGAACGGTACTTCGCAATGTCTGATTTGTTGCCCTTTTTACGAATGGGAATCGCTGTACTAAATTTCCACGACATAGGAAAAATACCAGTGTGCAAAGACTGATTAAAAAAACTTCTGCCATGTTAATATCCATAAAAAGAAAGTCATCAATCATACAATTAGTGTCCAAATCAGAAACAATTGAGTAATCTGGTAAGTCGCAGACTGAATTGTTTACCGAAGTATTTAGCAAACGGAAGCTATGTGTTGCTCTTCGTTTTTGTGACTTGCCTCTAGGTGCATGGTAAAGGTAATTTATTCTGTGAGGTTGTATATCTTATGTGTCTCCAAAATTCCCATCGAGAATCATCAGCGATGGACAATTCAATCGAAGTAATACATTTTATAGACCTCTCTTTGCAGCGATTTGCACTCAGATATCGGTGCTTAAAAGTTGTGTAGAGCCGCAGTTCTGTAAATTTTAAATTGTTTGTGGCACTTTTTTCTTTTCGCTTATCGAAATTTTCAATTCAGCATTATACCATGACAGTTTGAATAACGAATTCTACATTTAGAAATATAAATATCTTTCAAAAAATATAAAATGTCAAAACTGATCTACATTATTGTTAATATCACATTTTTTAACGAACAAGTGGTCTTCCCTCAACAGTCTCCCCCTCGAAAGTCATAAACCACCGTTGACAGCATTGAAAAATATTAATTGATCACAGATGGAAGCTCAAAAACCAGAGCAGGATGGTGTGCATCGCAGGTCAACAGGGTATCAATACACTCAGTGACAACAGTGGTATATTGATTGGGTAAAATTAAGTCGATCAGTGCACCATGCGAGTTTACAACATTATTGTGCTGATGAAGATCAACAGCAAACGCATCCAGCAACGACCAGGCAGCTTCAGCAATTCGTGAGGATGAAGACTACTCTGGATCCGTCCAGATCATTCCAACAGACCCCAGGAAGATTGAAGTCTTCAGTAATCGAGGATTGAGGTCGTGTTTGTGTCTCAAAGACTCCCAGAAGACATTTTGCATAGCTGGCATATTTCTCAGAAGAACATGCCGGAGGAAGGTAAACCGTCCCCAACAGCACCTCACCGTCCGCCAAAGAGAGTTTAAGAAAGAGTTGTTTAATACGAAGGTTGCCTTTTATGTTTCGGGATTTGGCAACCCTGTTGTTGCAATGTGGTAACAATCTGGCTGAAATATAAAAGGCAACCCTCGTATAAGCATAATTCCCGTCGAGGTTGGTCGGTCCAGTCGTGACGGGGGAATGCAGGAAGTATTCCTTTCTTTCACCAGTCATGTTCATCTTCCCCATTGTTCATTCCCGTTCTTTTATAACATCCTGTCTCTTTTTCTTCTACCCTTATATTTCTCTGCCCTACGTATGCACAACGCTCGCCCATGTGTTTACTGTACATAGGTATACCGACACGTGTCAAAGGGAAGTGTGGCCTGGCAGTTGGGGGACCTGTATGTTTCCCAGTTACTCCGGTGCTACTTTCTGCTGTTAAACTAGGGATACGTTTACGTATTTTGGGGAACATTCCTTGGTTTCCAACACTCGCTTTGACCCCTGACTCAAGGCGGTCGGGAGCTAACCCATTCCCGATCAATCGGCTCGGACTAGGTCTTGTACTGAACTCCAGGGTGTGCAGAGGGATTCACGGCGGGGCAGTGCTGTGATATCTCCCACTATAGGTTTGTTCCAGCAAACAATCACGGACTGTTTTACGTACTCTCACTCTGCGCATGCGCATAAGAGTGCAAACTAGTCAGAAACGAGTCCCGGATTGAGATCTGCTGGAACAAGTAGGTACAAAAATCAGTCTCTAGGTGCCGCTGCTTTCGTTTCATCGGTAGTCGCAGAATTCTCCGCCAGATATAATTTTCGTATCGCATGTAAAAATCAAAGCGACCTGACCCTGGTTAGTTCCTGGTATTCCTGTGGTATTCTCTTGCGCTTTACGTTTCTTCATAATTGCTCGCTTATTTTCTTGACCTTGCTATCAATTACAGATTTTGAACCTGATAAACTGACTTGCGCTATTTTTTATTATTCTTTTGGATTTCGGGTAATTGTATTTTTCTTAAAAATGAAAGATAACGCTACCAATACAGAACGGTAAATAACTACATACATATTTAGTAAGTCACGGTACAAGGAACTTCCTTAAAATTACTTACCTTCCATTTCCCATATAAAGAAACAGATATCAAGTTCCAATATCCACAAGAAAATCCGAAAGATAGCTAACTCACCAAAATCCAAGAATCTATATTCAGATTTAGTCAAAAAAAAGTAGAAAATTGTATATGTGACGTATGGGGGAGATGATCTGCGCATGTTTTCTTGAGTTCCAGAATTCCTTTCCATCGTTTTAACTATAAATAAAAATAAATTTTAAAGAAGCGCGGGATTAGTAATACTTAAAAAAAAACAACTAGAAAATCAATGAAACGTAAAGTAATGCAGCGTCAAATTCCAATATCCCCAAGAAAAATCCGAAAGAAAGCGAAATCTCCAAAAACCAAGAATCAATAAAATGTAAAACAAAGCAGGGTCAAAATATATAGATCAGAATAATAAACTATGAAGAAACCTCATGGAAACGCAAATGGCGCGTCGTCGAAGTTTGGCGTTGGCGGGAACTCGGGGACCGAAGAACGCATGTGCGGATTTCTAGTTTGAGGGAGAGTTCACGAACTGATTCGGACTGGTTTCAAACTAATCAGCAACCCTGCTGGAACGCCCAACTCCCAGTCACAATCCCTGACTGCTGCTGCTGGAACGCCCAATACTAGGCTGCGCATGCGCGGACTCGTTCGGGACTGTTTCGGACTCCTGCTGAAACAAACCTTATATCTTCGTGTCAACCCTGGTACCCCCAGTGGAGTGTCCCCATGTTGGACTCATGGTGGGAGGGGAGTACGGAGACGAATCCGCTTCAATTCTGTGGGACATAAAACAAACCCTTTGCCCTTTTCCGGAAGCGGCGATGTTTTGAGAGAACGGTGGATTTCAGTAGTTTCTTCCTTAGGGAAGAAGATAAACCAAAGAAGCCTCGTTTTCTTTTGATGGCGTGCACGGAAGGGAAAACATTTAAAATTATTAATGCGGTTCGTCTCGCGCTAGCCATTGACAGTTTCGGTCGTGCGTCAGAGGAATGTTATCATTCTCTTCGAAGCACGCACCGATGAGCAAATCGAAAACAGCTGGTGAACCTCCGCTCTGAGCCGAAGGCGAGATATTTAAATAGGTTCCTATTGTGCGAAATATCAGCTATAAATTCTCCTTCGCGCCAAGCAGTTCTTCATCCAAGTCACAGAACATCGTGCGATCTCGGACCATCATTACCTCATCCTCCGGTACCCGTCTCTACATGCTCTTGCAGAAACTCAATATAAAATTCCCCATCCCCGTGAGCCCCCCACCCCCCACGAAATCTTGTTCCCCTTTAGAAGCTTCTCTGGCCTAAAATAGACATGTGATTATCACACTTCGCCAAATCCTCAACTCCCTCCACTACATTTCTGGTGGAATTCTAGGAGACGAAATCCTTGTATCACGATTATAACTTCATATACACTGATGGTTCCTCCCAGAGTCTTCGACTAGACTCTGCGTGCAGCGCTTATACTGCAGAAAAATATGCGCTCTTGGAGCACTTAAGTTCGTTGGATCGATGACATTAAAAGCAGTTGTGATTCAAAAAGCTCGCTCGAGTCTATCTCCTGCTTCTCTTCTTATGACCCTCTGACGATAATCACTCAACACCAAATCCATAATTTATTGGTTCGTCATTATAATTTGATTTTTTGTTGTATCCCTGCTCACATTGGGATAATAGGGAACGAAATTGCTGACCAGGCAGCAAGAAATAGCTGGCGAACGCTTTACCTTGCTAGGTCTCTAGCACAAGTACTATCTGGCTCTTTTCTGCCAAACCCGTTTAAAATAATTGAACACGTTTAAATCAATT